GTGTTTTTCTTCATTCCAAATTCTTTTTTTCCAATCAAACTCCCAATCATTGATGAAATTTGATCTCTTTTCAAATCGGACTTCCAAACAAAAATTGTTTATGCCTCTTTCATAAATCAACAACCTAAACCTAATCCAAATAGGAATATTTCATATTATAACAATCTCTATTTTGACACAAATTCTAATGCAAAGAATTATTCTTTAAGTAAATTATTCTTTAAGTAATTCTCCAAAGAGAATGTTACAAACTCTATCTTTTCCACCATGCTCCTCCAGTCATACTCGACAATTGTGAATAAAATCCAAGCCCTATTTACCAGCAGAACTACCTTGGTCCCCAAAACTGCTTGAATCATCCCATTCACTTCCAACTCTACCTGAGTTGCCAAACCTGCTTGAATCACTACGAGTCACACGATCATTAAGAACAAAACTAGCTCCACATGAGCTAGTGGCAGGTTCTTCAATACCATTACTCAAATAACTACGAGCAACACGATCACAACCAACTTTAACCTAGTTACTGCTTTTCGAACCATAAGCCACAACTATATCTAAAGTGATCATCGAACCTTCTAAAATATATAACCAAGACTTTCTATATCCCTTCAGCACAACTCTAGAACCCTTTCTGACTTTCAAAACTCCACCTCCACAAGCATACATGTACTCTTTTGAATCGAGTACTCAAAGAGATAATATTTATGTTTAAAGTAGGAAAGTCTCACTTCACCAAATATCATGACCTCCCATCAAACTTCTTGATTCTGACCTTACCAATACCAACTATCTTACTAGGCGAATTATTTTTCTTCACCACAGAACCCCTTGTAATAGTTCTATATGTTGAAAACCAATCTTAGTTAGAACACATATGAAAAGAGCATGTTGTATCAAGAATCCAATTCTTGTCAGGCTTGGAGTCACCATCAGAAATCATCAAAAGATCTCCATTACTGCATTCTTTTTCTACAAGACTAGTTTCACCGGAATTACCAGGTTGTCCTTCTGTTTGTAGCAACTAATTTATTCTTGTTCTGCCAATTCAGGTAGTCTTTCTTCTTTTGCCCCTACTTCCTACATAAATAAGAGACTATATCACTATTATTAGCCTTAGACCTTCCCCTTCCATGACTACCTGAATCCTTCTCATGAACAACAAAACCCTATGCCCGGACCTCTGGATCCTAAGACCAGATGCTTCATCTTATCTCTAGAATAAAATGCATTTTTAACCTCTTCAGTGGTGAGGTTATCTCGACTATACAAAGTGGTCTCCCTGAATGTCATATATGAAGTGGGCAACAAACATAATAAAATTAACCCTAAGTCTTATTCATCGTACTTGACCTCCATGCTCTCCAAATCAGCAATGATTTTCTTGAATATAGATGGATGATCTTCTAAAGATCCACCTTCTATTGTGTGATGAGAATATAAGTGTTGCTTTAGATGCAATTTGCTGGTTAGACTCCCAAGTCATGCATAGCTGTTCTTATTTCAATCATAATGCAGCGACAATTTTCTCCTTTACCACGTCCTAAAGAATTTGATTTGAAAGATGAAAATGTATCCGTGATAAGGCCTTCCAATCGTGTCACTAGTTCTCCTCCAATGTTAAAGTTGAGGGCATTCTATGAAGTCCCCCAACAAATTATCATCTAAATCTAATTGGATGAGCATTGCTCGCATCTTGATTTATCACAAAGAAAATCTGGTGTTGCGATCTAAAAGCGGAATTTCAAACTTCATACTTGTCATCCTGTAACAATCAAACCTTGTTGATCAAACATTGCTTTAATACGAGACCAAATTGGCACCCCCAAGAACTTTGATCTTTGGTTATAATACCACTTGTTGTAAAAAAAAGGCCAATTTGCAATAGCTTGGTGATAGAACTTATACCACTTGTTATGAATATTAAAATCAAGAAAATATGACAAGATGAAAAGAATCACACAAGAACACAAGATTTAACGTGGAAACTCGAATTCGGGAGACCCACGGACAAAGTCGGAGAATTCACTAGAATCCATAGCAAGGAGTATACGAAAGGATCTCCTAAAACTCTCCACCTATTCTCAAAATATGGGAGCATGTCTCTATAATCTAGATCATCTCACTTTGATGTTCTTTCAATGTTATACAATGTTTTGTTATTTTACTCAAGCCTACATCATGTGGAGTATATATAGTAGCCCAATCTTGACGTTTTGAATAAAGTAGAATACAAGAATCCCAAACAAAATTGAATTTGGAGATTATATTTATGCACAAGTGGCGCTGGGGTGCCACCCTTGGCGCCGAGGTCGGTGCTAGGGCGCCACCCCTTGGCGTTGGGGCACCCGAGCAGGTGCCTACACACCTCATCTCAGCCATATAACCGATGCCTAGGCACCCCGTTTCAGTCGCTCCCTACCTCTTCTTCGTACTACCGATGCCTAGGCACCCCATCTCAACCCTTAACACCTTCCAAATGTATGTTTTCTTCATTATAAAGTTCTTCCAGTAAAACTCTCAATCATTAATGAAATTTGATCCCTCTACAAATCAGACTTCCAAATCGAAATTGTTTATGCCTCATGTATCAATCAACAACCCAAACTTAATCCAAAATTCTAACAAATATAATAGAAAACCATACACAATTTGGGAATCTGGCTATTATTCTTCTTGAGAATAATTAGTTTAATATTGTTTGATGTATTCATCATGAAATCATGCTCTACCGAGTTTAAGTAGTAATAACTTTAGAAAAGAGAGAGAGAAAAAAAAAACTATAAACTAGAACATTACTTGAAAAAAAATTTACTAGCCCGTCAAATTAGTAAAATTTTATTTTTGTTTCGGCTCACGCTCTATCTACCTGTGTCTACTAAATTAATATAAATGCCTAATACCATTACAAAAATTATGACAGGGCAAGAAAATTCTATTAGCGCATCATGTTTAACGACTAGGTGCCACTCACTGCAAATTTCGCGTGTGAGCTAGCTCACTGGTTGGCACGAGTTAGCTCGTGAGCTTGTGGGCTCATGTGCTCGGCTGTGAAAAAGTAAATAAAAATTTGACAAAATTCGAGAGCCGAGCCCGATGATAAGCAGCTGAGCGGCTTGGCTCGCCCGATTTAACTCCCCTACTAAAACCCTTTTTAAGTGGATTACTAGTCGTTTAAAATACTCTTTTTTGAAGTAATAAAAAATAAAAGAAGAAAGAATTTAGCATTTCTACGAATATAGTATTCGGAGATGGACAACATGTTTAAATTAAAGCAAAAATAGAAGTCAAGTTATTATTTTGAAAAGAAAAAAAAAAGGTTTAGTGACCAAAATAACATAATGTCGTAGGTTGAGTGATTACTAGTGTTTTTAAACAGTTCAGTATCTCAATAGTATTCCACAAAACATTAGTTAAAATCAAGATTTTATTAGGTTTCATTGGACAATGTATTAGTGATCTTACTGCCATATCGATAATTATTTAGACTCGGAGCCAGGGCTATTATAACACTGGTGTTATAGTTAAACATAGTTAATCACCCAATTTATATTGTTATTTCACTTTGGACATCTCAAACTATTTTTGTTCTAAATCAGTAACTG